TTACCCCCAAGCCCAGGTAACCACTAATCTACTTCCTGTGTCTATAGATTTGCATATTGTGGACATTCACATAAATGGAATCATACAATAAATGGTCTTATCTGTATGACTTCTTTCATTGAGCATTTTTTTTTTTTTTTGGAGAGGTTTTTGCTGTAGGGTACGTGTGCTCACCAGAAAGACAGAGACAGACAGACAGAAAGAGAGAAATCACCCCCCAGGGGGGATGGCCATGCCACAATCCTCCATTCTCCTCTCAAGATCTTAAGCATGCACACACACGTGCCCAGCGTGAGTTTAAGCCACCGGTCCGAGATTCGTACCGCGGTCAACTATATGAGAGTCCAGCAACATAGATGCCAACTGCTGGTCCCAGCACATTCATCTTTTGAAAGACATTGGCTGTTTCCACTTTGAGGCTATTATGAATAAAGCTTCTATAAATGTTTATGTGAACACTGATTTTATTTCTCTGGGCTAAATGCCCAGGAGTGCAATTGCTGAGTCATATAGTAGTTGCATATTTAATTTTTAAAAGAAATCATCAAATTATTTTCTAAAATAGTTTTGCCTTTTTACATTCTCATGAGCAGCATAGGAGTGATATATTCTTTTTACATCTTCTCCAACGTTTGGTATTTTCACTACTTTTTATTTCAGCGATTCTCTGATTTCTTTTTAAATGTGTTTCTTCTGAGGGAGGAGGAGGGTAGGCACCCCAGTGTGGTCCTCACTCTGTGATCCACTCCCAGCCCCAGGCAACCAGGATTATGGTCATGCATGGAAAGACCTTGGGATGCAAACATAGGACTTTCCCATTGAGCATTGTGTTGCCACTGCACCATTGTGACTGGCCTTATTTCAGCAGTTCTAATAAGTATGTAGTAATTCCTCATTGTGGTTCTAATTTGTATTACCTAATGGCTAATGATGTTGAATATCTTCATGGTGCTTATTTGCCATTTCTGTTCCTTTTTGGTGAAATGTCTGTTCATTTTTAATTGGGTTGTTTGTTTCCTTACTGTTGAGTTTTGAGAGTTCCTTATGTATTCTCAACATAAGTCCATTGTCAGATTGGTGAGTTTTTTTAAAGTTCATTTTTTCTATGAGCAAAAGAACTAGGAAAAGAAAGTGAAAGAAGGGTAGACAGACAGACACAGGTGCCCCTAACAGGGTCTTGATGCTGCAATTCACCCCTGGCCTCCCCAGCCCCATGTCATGGGCACATATATGCCCAGTATTCCCAGGGAGGACTCTAGACTCAGACCTAATACTTTCCCATGTGGGTGAGCCTCTTAGGGTATCACTTATAGCCTAGATTATACAGGTGGGCCCAATAAAATGTCATAACAAGGGTCTTTAAAACTGGAAGAGGGTACCAGCCGATGGCATAGTGGTTATGTCACTAGACTCCCACATAGTCGACTGTGGTTCAAGTCTCAGACATGGTGGCTTAAAACTCACTCCCGGCACGTGTGCATGTGTGCCCAAGATCCCCAGAGGAGGATGGAGGAAAAGGAATTGCAGCATGGCCATCCCTCCGGGGGTTGGTTTCTTGCTTTCTGTCTCCCTGGCAAGTGCATGTGCCCTATAGCAAAATATACTCTCTAAAAAAATAGTGGAAGAGAGAAGCAAAAGAGAAAGGTAAGAGAATGAGACGTGATGAAAGAAGGCACGATCAGAGAGATAACAGTATTGATGGCTTTGAAGATCAAGGAAGGTGGCCAGGATCAATCTTATTGGAGGTCTCTTGTGAGTTGTTTTTTTCCCTTGCTGCTTTCAAGATTTTCTTCTTGTCTTTGGCTTTCAATATTTTTACTATGATGCATCTCTTTGGAGATCTCTTTATATTTATCCTACTTGGAGTTCACTGAGTTTCCTGGATATGTAAATTAATGTTTTTCAGTAAATTTGAGAATTTTTTCAATTTTTCCTGCTCCTTTCTCTTTCCTCTTCTGGTACTCCCATCATATATATGTTGGTAAACTTAATAGCATCCCACATTTCTCTGAGGCTTTGTTCATTTTTCTTTATCTTTTTTTCCTCTTTATGCTCTCGTTTGGAGAATCTCTATTGATCTTTTGGGTCATCAGAAAAGTCATGACATACTTTTCTATGTTTTCTTATGCAAAAATGCATCATGACTTTTCTGACACCCCAATATTTCAAGTTCACTAATTATTTCTTTTGCCAGTTAAAATCTGTTGAGACCCTTCAATAAATTTTATTTCAGTTGTTATACTTTTTTAACACTAGAATTTCCATTGGGTTCTTTTTCATACTTCCTATTTATTTATTTATAGTATCTATTTGACAAGACATTGTCATTATTTTTTACTTTTTTAATAATACATTTTAAAAGTTCTTTGAGGGACCAGCAGTTAGTGTAATGGCTATGTCGCTGGACTCCCATGTAGTCAACCACGGTTCGAGTCCTGGACCTGGTGGCTTAAACTCACACTGGGCGCGTGTGTGTGTGTGCCCAAGATCCCAAGAGGAGAATGGAGGAGAAGGGACTGTGGCGTGGCCATCCCCCCTGGGGGTGATTTCTCACTTTCTGTCTCTCTGTCTCTCTCTGTCTTTCTGGCAAGCGCACACGCCCTATAGCAAAAACCTCTCCAAAAAAAAAAAAAAAGAAAGAAAGAAAAAAAAAAGTTATTTGAAGTCTTTCCCTGCTAACTCTGATATCCAGTTGCTCTCAGAGGTAGTTTCTCTTGCTTGCTTTTTTGTTAGTGTATGGGTCATACTTTTCTGTTTCTTTGCATGTCTCATAAGTTTTTGTTGGAAACTGGACATTTTATGTACTATATTATAGTTTGTTTAGTCAACCCCTTGCCTCCACTTTGCAGTGTGAAGCCTCTTTAAGAGCACAGCCACCTTGGAAATGCCCACAGTCATCCTGGGAATGACAGTGATTTTGTCAGGGCTCTCTTTGGCTGTCCTGTTCCCTGACCAAATCCAGCTATTAAGCTTCACTAATTGCTGGAATTGATGGCGAATTGCTTTGTTCTTAATAACAATATTAAGAACTGTACTGGGACATAAATTCCTCCATAAACTGATCTAATCAAATTAAGGTTCTTTTGAAAGCATAGTTCCTGAGATCAGTGTTTGGGATTTCTTCTGACCCCAAGAGATTATTCCCTACTATCTCTTTCTCTGGTTCTCTGTGGTATATTAGCCAGTTTAGGCTTAACTTCTCTATACTCAGTTGCAAATGAAGTCAGCTCCTTTCTTATTGCGGGAGATGGGGACAATAGTATTCTTCCATCTGAATGTCAGCCTCAGTTCTCCTAGATTTTCCTCACCTGGTGGAGAGCCCCCCACTCTACTGTGAGCTGGGGCCAGATTAGTCAAGACCTCCATATTCTTGGTGGCACCGCTCCCAACACATAGTCTCCATCCTATGAGTTGGAACTGTGTGGAAGAAGGGAGCCCCCACCTCTCAGCCAGCTTACCTGAAACAGCCTCAGCAACAGGTAGCAGGAGGCAAAATTAGAAATGCTGACATTTCTCAGGAAGTAAGGCTTCCAACTGGCCTCTGAGAGAGAGCAAGCATGTTCTTGTCTGCCCCAGTCTGGTATGACATCTATGCCTGGGGGTGGGGTGGTGGTGGTGGTGGAGATAGTTGGGCTATGTGTAAATGCTAAAGACTGTCCCTTTACTTACCAAGCTTTATTTTCTTGTGTAAATTCTTCTTCATTTGTTGTATGCCTTTAAGACCATTTCTAGAGACTAAATGGTTGGCTGTTGATTTTTAAATTGAGATAACTTTTACCAGTGACACTGGAGGGTGGGTCTGCAGAGTTTCTCACACTGTCATGCCACAAGTGAAACTCTATAAGCTTTTTAGCATATAATTTTACTGCTGTTACTTATAACTGCTTGGAATAGTCTTGTAGTTTAATTTCCATCTCCTTGATCGATTATAAGTGACTTAAAAGAATTTTATTTCTTATGGAATTATGATAGCCCCTAGTAACAGAATATCATGACTGACTGTGTCACTGTCTTTTCTAGTTTACATTTTCATAACTTCATTTGTGACTTGAAGTGCCTAACTATGTTTTTCTTTTTATCACATTCTAATGCTAATGTGTTCCCAAAAGGGTGATCCCTGTTTTTTTCAGTCACTGACCACGCTCAGGAAAGGGCACTTGAGTCATTAGAAGTTTTAGTCCAGGAGCCACCAGGCGGCATGGACTTCAACATGGCCGACCGTATTTCGAGTCCTAGACCTGGCAGCTTGCTTTCTCTCTTTCTCTCTCTCTCTCTCTCTCTCTCTCTCTCTCTCTTTATCTCTCTCTTTTGTCGAATTAAAAAAAATAGTAATGATGAATAAAATTATTCTTAAAAAAAAAGAAGTTTTGGTCCAAAACATTATTCACCCTTCATAATATAGGAGCTTTCTATAGCATTCCTTATAGTGTAGTTTACTGCGGTTATAATTTTAGATTAGGCTACTTTTTTGGGAGATGAAGACAGGGAAGGAGGGATATGAACAGGCAGAAAAACAGTGTGGTTGTTCTCTTAAAGGTGGGACATACCTCATTCTTTATTTAACCAACCATGTCTCATGCCTTTCAGCCTTGGCCTTTCATAGCTCTGCTTTCATGACTACTTTTTCCTTTCCTGCCCCTTGCTTCCTGGGGGTTTCTGGCTGTTGACAGCCTCATGGCTGCCTCCCTTTGATTTGGTGGGCAGTGGACATGTGACCATATCTGAGACTCCAGCCAATGCTGTACCACTCATCTTCTATGACTTGAGCTTCCTTCTAAGGCTAACGTACGGCCTTTCTCAATCTTTGAGACATTTTGTATTGGAGGATTTGATAGTACTTTTCTCCGTTTACTCTAGGTCATTCGAGAATATTCTTGACAGAAATCATTCAATTTGTGTGATTTGCCTGCCACTACTTCTGGGATCTGTGGAACAGTGTTTACTATCCTCTGGGATGGGTGCATGTTGACTATTTCATTCAGTGTTGTTCTCTTTCCCAGGATGCTCCAGGATGAAACGCCATAAACTTCTCAGCAGCAGTGACAGTTCAGATGAGAGTGAGTAAAATCAGCTGACAGCTGGTAACCTCTGTATCTGTAACCCTTAGGGATTTTTTATTTGACTTGAGGATAAGCCATTTCATGCTTCCTTCAATGTTAAAAATAATATTTCTGTGAAGGAAAGCTTGGGGTACTATTTTTCTTACTCATTTGAATTTCATTATTAATAGATAAATTAGGTAGAAGAATTAGTTTTGTATGGCATATAACATTTTTGTTTTTAGCTTTTCATTTACCTAAACAGCAAAAAACAAATCTAGTAATGCTTTTATAGAGCTTCCCTAGAAAGGTAGAAAAATATAAGAACAAGAATTTTAGACCCCAATTCTAATTGTAGCTTAGGAACTAAAGTTTGACTGTGAGTCAGCAATCATTTGTAAAAGGCAACAATAGCCTTTGGAGTAGTGCTGAAGGATACACAGATTACTTGCTCCACATGTTTAATTTTTCCATTTGTTTTTGAGATACTTTTTCTCCAGGTGGAACATGAATTGTGTTTTTCCACAATATTATGAAGTGTGATTATACCAACTTAGATCTTCTCAGCCTTAACATTGTTGAAACTTTATACTCTGGGAGGTTACCTGTAAATGTCAGTAAATTCCATTATGAGGCTCTCTTGGGTGAAGTTTAACTGTTCAGTGGTATAAGAGCTCTGTGTTCTTCTTCATCATATCTTTCATATTCTCTTGGATAACATTTAGTTTTATGGCAGTCATATTAGCAGGTAATACATCTCAGTATTTTTCTCTAATTATCTTTTGCAGGTCCTTCTACTTCCTTTACCTCTGGCTCAATGTATAGAAAAAAGCCAAAAATTCCAAAAGAATACAAGAAACCTGCTGAGGTGAGATCAGATATTCAATTTTTAGACTTAAAAAAATAGACAGATAGCTGCCTCCTGCCTATAATACCTACAATACCCAGGATCTGAAGATATGAAGAGTTAAGTCTATGCCAATGGATAGGCTTGTTTTCTGATTAACTCGTTTGCTTTCCAAGAAAGATCCCATTTCCTTTCCCGTTTAAGAGAAGAACGACCTTTACACTGTGATTTTATTTTGGTAATGACACTTAAGTATCTAGCTTTAGGATATTCCTTTCCTAGCCAGGAAGTCAAAGAGAACCAGATTTAGGGAATTAGGAAGGATCCAGAGATCATGTTGCCTATGATTAGAAATAGCTAAGTTAGCAGGTGGGGGAGATAGATAGTACAAGAAGAGATAGGAGAAGAGGTTGTAATAGATGGAGAACGGAAGGAGTAGGTTAAAGATCTGGGCTTTGGGCCATGATGAGCCCTCACAGCCTTTGGGAGTGCTCCTGGCCCAGGAAGAATAGGTCGCTCCTTATGAGGCTGGTCACCTTCTGCCCCAAAGGCAACAAAGCACCAGGATTGCACTTGGATTTGGTAATGATTTAGTAGATCCTACAGACTTACCTCTGTGATGATTAAATGATGAGAAACTGTCTTTACTTCTATTGGGTCTGAAAGGTCATGATGCATTTTTGCATAGAAAAAATATATCATATGACTTTTCCAACAACCCAATATTTTGAATAGAC